AATTAACTGCTATCAGAACTCCACTCAGGATTTGGAGCACTGATGAGAAAGATCACATTTTTTCATGCATTATGTTGATCTCTTAAATGTGTGACTAAGAAATAAAGAAGAGGCAGATATTTAAAAAATAATTTCGTGGATATGTTTGAGATGAGGACAGCCCCACACTGTGCACTGGACTATTCACTGTTCTAAAACAGTTTCCCTAATTGTCCTTGTCCAGTAAAGTTCTCAAAAAATATGTTTACTCTCGCTATCTTCATATCATCTCCCATTCTGGCAAGGCTGTTTGGAGCAGGTTCAAGAGAGAATGGTTGATATGTCATGTTGAGAATGGCATGTCACTGCTGTGGCCTTCCTCTCAAAAATTCATAACCCCAGTCTCACCATGAGAAAAACATCAGCCAATCTCAAATTAAAGTGAATTCTATACAACGCCTCATGTATTCCTCAAAATTATCAAGACCATCAAAACAAGGAAAGTTAGAGAAACTGTTCCAGCCCAGAGGAACCTAAGGTGCTGTGACAACTAAAGATAATATGATATCCTGGAGGGGATCCTGGAACAGGAAAGAAACTTTGGGTAAAAGATAAGGAAATCTGAATCAAGCATGGAGTTAACTAACTCCATATAAAAATTATTGGTGTAGATTCATTAATTGTGACTAATCTGCCATACTGATGCAAAAGGTAAATAATAGAAGGACTTTGGTATGGAGTATATAGCAACTCTCTGCATTGTGTTTCCAACACTTCTATAAATATAATACTTTTCTAAAACAAAAAGGCAATATGCTAATGTTAGCTAATAGTTTCAGAACTTGTAGTAAGAGTCATAGCAGTAGTTACAGTGATAGTAGTTAGTAATAGAAGATTCATAAGCACGTTAGAAGAGAGAACCCAGTTAGCCTGTTTCTTCCGTGCAGCATATATACACAGGGTTGAACTGCATATACAGCCCACTTGAGGAACTATAATCTTAATTTTAGCAATAAGACAGAAATCTGTCCAATTCACATGTATAAAAGATTAAGATAATAGGATATTTATCTAGAGGCATTATAAAGATGACAAAAGGGTGTTTTGAGAAGGACTGAACTCAAACTTTGTAAGCGGTTTATGCCGCTTATTTTAAATATTAAATACAGTGAAGACTAAAAGATATATAGCACAGTTTTATGCCAAAATTTCCAGCTGACCTTCAGAAAGAAGGTAACGCTTAGCCAGAGTGGCCAAGAACAGAAGCCATCAAGCCTAGACGCTCCTGTTCTCATCTGCCCTTCTCCTCAACTGTCTCTGCCAGCAAGCTCTCTCTAAATACTAAATTTTAATCCATTTATTTTTGCAATCTCCTTTGCTTGCCTTCAATACACTCTGCAAAAATGGCTGCCTGCTTCTATGTTGACTAAAATGACTCCACAGAGCTGACATTTTCAGAACTCAATATACCTGTACCCCTTTTGGCAGCTGTACCTCTTTCTATAGGGAAAGCAGAAGGAGTGGAAGCCAGGCGCTCCACAGAGTATAACATCACCCCATCATATAAAAGTAACGGCTTTGTAGTGGTTTCCACAAGATTGCTAGAGAAAGGGATAGTGCCACTACATTACATGGTCTGCAGTTGAAATCTGCATACTAAATTACTTCTAGTCCCATGATATGCCCACTGTTATGCTTTCAGATGGTCACACACACTTAATCTCTGCAAGAACAGTCTTCTCATCTCTCTTTATCTTAGGATTTTGACTTAGATGTCACTTGGACAAGGAAGACCCTGCTAACAACCTCTCAACCCCAAGTTTATATCAAGGGTTCCCTTAGAACCAAAACATTCCTCTGTCTAAGCAGTTGTCACATTGTATTATAATTGTTCATCAGCTTTAAGGTACATGAAGGCATTGCCATATCTCTCTGGATCACCGTCAAATCATTGAGAGCCAGAACTTTGATTGATACACAGTAGGGATGCAAATACATAACTTAGAATGAATGGATAGAATCATTCCCAATCAAAAGTATATTGTAAGATCATTTTCACTCAAAGATTGTGTCATGATATTTCTCAAGAACATTTAAATCTTAGGGCAGAGGCTAGTGTAAAGAAGCCATCTTTCATGTCACCATACACCCTATCTGCTACTCTGGAAAAAATGTCAATGTTTAAAAACAATGAGGTTTTTAAAATGTGTTTCAAATCTACATTTATGTCATGTTTTCAGGATAAGGAATAATAGCAGAAATAAAATTTTTAAAACCACAGTGAAATTACCTAAGTATAAATGACGATCTTCATGACATTTCTTTTCTAGGTGTTTGTTCTTACATTGAGAATGAGCTGTTAAAATCCAAACTATAGCTAAAGTAAAAACTTGTGAACATTTTAAAAAGTAATTAAACTAAATCAAAAATTTGAAATTAACTAAAAATAAGTATGGGCAGGATTAAACGTACTCTCTTTCATCTCACTGGAGATATAGTTTTTTTGGGTAAATCCTAGAAACATTATATTTTTTTATTTTCACATCTCCTTAACATTTTACAAATACACTTTAAACAAAAAATTGAAATGTATTAAGGACTCATTTTATTAACTGACCTAATCTCCATTTAAGAGAGTTTTTAAAATATTAAATAATATATTCTTGCAAAACCCTATAACAATATAGCAGAGTATTAAAGCACAGTAAATGATCATAGTTAACATATTTTTAAATAATTCCTTCCATGCCTTAATTTATTAAAGTTTTTCTTAGGGCCACTTTATGTCACATAGTGCCCTAAATCCATGAGAGTAGAGAAATGAGTAAATTTACCCATACTATGAAGAAGTTTACTATTTATTGGAGAGAGAAACAAGTATAGGTCACTGCAATGAAATCTTTGGGAATGATGTCAAAGTATGCCTGGAGGCACTGTGGAAATAACGCAGGAGAGATACTAACCTTGGAACAGGTTGCTCTTCACACAATCTAAGTTGCTCCTTTCACTGACATTCAGTGAAAAGAGGCAGGTAGATGTTACATGTGGATTCAATGTGGATTCAGTGTTTCACTTGACAGTTGTAGGGAAATATAAAAGTAGATGAAATTTAACCTTTCTTCTGAAATTTAGCAGCAGTAATTGTGGTTTGGTTTGTACATTTAAGAAGTTAAGTGTTTTGGTGATCATAATGAAAATAATACAGTAGAAATGTTAACAAAAATGCAAGAAACTTTCATAGAAAGGGCAAAGTATAAAGGAAGGAGCATGACTTTTGTCTTAAGTACATAGGTTTGAATCACAGCTCTGGCACTTACTACTCATGTGTCTGTAGACAAATCATATAAATTACCTAAACCTTAATTTCTTCATATGCAAAATGAAATGCATACTAGCTTACTTGTGGAGTTACTATAAGCATTAAATAAGATAACATTTATATAGCACTTTTCAGATTGCCTGTGCCATCTTAAAGGACTAAAATGTGATGGTAGAGATCTAATTGTAAACTAAACTAGGTATTTCAATGCAGGATGCTTTACCCCTGACAGGGAGTGGCAGAATGCTGACAAGTGTGAATCAGTGATCTGATTTCAGAGAGTCTGGAGTACCAAGCAGAGAATAAATGCAGGGATGTGGTTGATGATGACAATGAAGATGATAATCACTGCATCTTCTCCAAAAGCATAGAGCATTTATCACTTTGATTTCCTATGACCAATTAAAATACTTACTTATATGTTTTTAAAAGTGCACTTAGGAAAAATCATGTTTCAGTTAACCCCTTTGCTAAGTAGACCCTCCTTGACTCTAAAAGAAGTCAGAATCTTTGGAATATCTTACTTGGTATTACATGAACCGATGTGAAATCTCACTGAACAACTTTTCTACTCCCAGTGGTAAAATCAGGGAGCGTTAGTATCCTACATGCATTGAGTCAGAATGAAGCTCAGTGAGCAGTGAGCAATGTGGGATATTAACCTCATCCTACCTATTGTCTAACTTCCTGTGCATTGCTTATACTTAGCAGTGGCTTCAGCATTAGGTAGAATTCCAGCATTTGCTTTCTCTCTCTTTCACTTCCCTTTAACCTGAAAGAGTGCAAAAGCTTTGAATTCAAGCTCACTTACTAATCCTGGCCCAAGACTCTCCAGCTTCCAGCAAAGCACTTAGCAGCCTCTGTACTTGTTTTCTAATTTGAAAAAGTAGCTGGTACAAAACCTATTTTAGGAGGTTTTAAACTTTTTAAACATGATAACAAATATCAAACACCTTGGATACTGTCTAGCATATAGCAGGCATTCAATAAACACTGACTTTTTTGCATCATTGTTTTCATCCACTGTTACCTCATTTGATTTAGGAGAGCATTGTTGGCTCCATTTTACAGATGAGCTGTAAGATAGATTAAGATAATTTCTTAGGCCACGCATAAGGTATGTAAAGAAGGGATTTGACCCTAAATCTCCTAATGCGTGTCACAGACACTTTTGGCACCCTGTGCTAACATCCTCTTACGAGACTCTGATTTCAGCCATAGCTGCAGTAGATGGTTCCTGCAGCTGGAAACATCCCACTTCAGGCCTCCACTGTACCATTTGTCTCTCCTCTTCTTGGCCTCAAGTTCCTCTCTAAAGGCCCTAGGAGTTTTCAGGCAAGAGAATTCTGGAAGTACATAGGTGTTAAAGTCCTTAACACCACCCTTTAATGAATGGACACCAGCATCCATTCTCTTCCTTCTGACAGGTAATTCTCAATTGCATTATTTGAGTCAGAGTTGGCCATAGGGGGAGCTATCTCAATAGCACACCCTACTTTGGCTTTTCCTTGTCTATTGCATTCTGTTCTAATTAATAATCCTTAATCCTGCTTCCTAGGATTATTTCCCCAGTAAATGACCTGCACCTAAGTCCTTGTCTCAGATGACATTTTGGGAACTAAAGGTTTGGGTGAGAGAAGAAAGGGTGTTTTGTTTTGTTTTCATTTGTGTTTGTACAGCATTTCTCTCTATTTCTCCTTAGGTTACCAAGATGCTGGCAGTGGTTGTAATTCTGTTTGCCCTTCTATGGATGCCCTACAGGACTCTTGTGGTTGTCAACTCATTTCTCTCCACTCCTTTCCAAGAAAATTGGTTCTTGCTCTTTTGCAGAATTTGCATTTATCTCAACAGTGCCATCAACCCAGTGATTTACAATCTCATGTCCCAGAAATTCCGTGCAGCCTTCAGAAAGCTCTGCAACTGCAAGCAGAAACCAACAGAGAAACCTGCTAACTACACTGTGGCCCTAAATTACACTGTCATCAAGGAGTCGGACCATTTCAGCACAGAGCTTGATGACATCACTGTCACTGACACTTACCTGTCTGCCACAAAAGTATCTTTTGATGACACCTGCTTGGCTTCTGAGGTATCCTTTAGCCAAAGTTGATTCATGAATTAGAGGAAAACGGACCATAAAGAAAATGAGAATCTGTGTAGTAATCAACAAAAGGGAGAATATGGCCAATAGTTGTATGTGAAGACAGAGCAGATCAGTCTTTGTCAATCCTCTAACAAGTCCTGGCCCTAGACACTTTAAGGAGGATGATTCAGACTTTCCTTCTTTCAAACTAGTATCACAAAAAATGAAGCCGATCTGTGAAATAGCTAAATGATTAAAAACTGAAAGTTTAGCCCTTTTCGTTTAACTTAAGAAATTTACTATATTTTCTGGGCTTACAGAGTTTCAATAAAATCTAGACAGCAACTTACATTATTCATAATAACCTTATCAAATGTCACTTTTCAACCCCCTAAGTTATTTATACATTCAATAATTTGACAACAGGCAGATTTTTAAATGTTTGCATTTAGTATTTCCTTTTAACATAGCACAGTGCTAGCTCGTGAATATCTGAAATTAAAGGGAAAAATATTACAGAAAACATTTTATTTATTGAGTAGAAATAAGATTTTAGACATACATGTTCACTGTATTTTAAAAATTGTCATAATGTTTATAAAATTCCGAGATGATTTTCATCTTAGAAGGCAGATAACCGTCACTCAACTTTAATGTTAAATAAACCTCAAAGTATCCAAAATTATTAATTAGGAGAAACGTAGATTTTAAGATAAATCCAACTCTTATCAACTTCTCCAGCCTCCTATATGATAGATGGAACAAGGTAAAAACCCGGATTAAGTAACTGGGAAGATACAAACTAACATATGATTAATTTTGAAAAGTATAGCCAAGACAAAAGCAAGTATTTATAATAAAGTTTTGCTTCTTCTTTGAAGCTTTTAAGCAAGAAAATATTTTTGAACATTCTTGTTTATAAACTACTGAGCCATCCTTCAAGCAAAATCTAGCTTAAAAGTCTGAAACATTTGTAAAAGCTTCACTGTTACTCTAGATCAGCCAAAATCCTGGTATCCCCATTCCAGATGAAGAATTCCCACTGAGAATTGTAGTCTAGGGATTTTTACCTTGGTTGCAATTGTCTTTTCTTCCTAACTGCTTGTCGTTTGTAGGTTCTTTTTCTGTTTTTTCTCCAATGTTACTGATATTTTGTTTACAGATTCCCAATTAAAGCAATGCAAAATTCTGTTGGCTTTATTTTCAGTAGAGTTAAAACTGATTTCATCATATTATCAGCTTCTCACTTTTATATTTATGACGAGATCTGCTAATGCAGTGATTATTAGAAATTTGTGAATGGATCTGTCCAGGACATTTGTCATTTCCTACCTGAATCTCTTACCTACTGGGATATGGCCAACCAGAATCTTCAAGGGTGTAAATTGCCTTTGGTAATGGTTCGGTAGTCACTGGTTTTTAATGACTAGATGATCAAAAAGTACCCATACCTTTACATGCCCCATAGCCTGGCATTTTCCCTCTCCAGTCTATATCCCTATTTTATGGACTTTTCTAGAACCTAGTTGCTAATGATAATTAGGCCTACCCACCTTCTTAATGAAGAATATGCCATTCTACTTTCAAAACTTGTTTTTAAATGCTGTTTCATGGAGACTCTACTATCCAGAACCTCATTCTAGAATATGCTTTTTTGAAAATTGTCTTCATCTGCTCCACCAAGACATTTCTATCCTGTTGCTATAGTAGTAAACAAACGCAAGCCAATATTTGCAGGAAATACCCTAAAATTCTACCTACATGACAGTAAGCAATCTATGTCAACTGACTTTTTATTCTGTATAAATATTAATCTTGGCATTGTATAAATAGAGCACCAGAGTGACCCAACCCCAAATCACACAAGCATATGCGTGTTTATAAACACATACCCACATGTTCATAAACTAGGGAAAAAGGGATTGGAATATATGAGGTACTTTTCATTACAGAAAGAAACCAATATGATTGAGCATCTACTATGTCTCAGGTATGCTAGTAGAGTCAATCAACATTATCTTCATCACAATCTCACTACAGCTGTGATTTCTCTGATTATAAGACCAGTTTTCCTGTAACCTAATTCCTAATTGATAAAAATTTATGGATTTTGCAGAATAATTATATCAAATGTTAAAAAATACAATTAATTTAACATGATATACATAGAATACAAAGATGCTCTTCACATATTTGGATATTTAATGTATGGACTGACTTCTTCTACTTTAATTTTTAAAAAGTTATTTGCCAATAATCTATTAGTCTTAGAGCACATGGGAAATTCATAAGAACTGAGTTCATAGCGTTTTAACTCTAAAGCAAATGCCATTATAAAATTAAATGTTCCTATGTAATATCCAATAGATATTTGAATTTACCCAGAAGAGACATAACTTTTTTAAATATTCTTTATCACACTATACTCAGTTAGGAAATATTTCCATAATCAAAACATAATATACCACCAAATGAGAAACAAAGAGCTAGATTAAAATTTGCTGGTGAAATGAAGTAATGTTATTAAGAGCCTTCCTTAATAAAGATTCCCTGTTTTATTTTATTACTTCCAATTTCATTAATTGCTGAGTGTTATTGGTTAGATTTTACACTTGAGGTAATTGGGTAAAGGGCACTGATCATGAATAAAACGAACAATCATAAATTCACTCTCAGGACTTAAGAGCTGTGAGTCTATTTCTAGACCTTAACAGACAAGGCAGATATTCTAAATGCTGAAGAAAAATAAGACAAGTCCAGACTCTATAGTCATTCTTAAACAAATTCAATGTACAGAACAATAAACCTTGATAATACACAGAAATGAATGGCTGATTTGGCTAAACAACTCGCAATGTCAAAGGAAAAGCCACAGCCATAAAACTTAGTGTAGTGCAACTAAGTCTTAATGGATATCTGAAATGTTTTATTTTCAGAAGACTATGTTGGAATAATAAGAACAATATGTCTTAGTAAAAGCTGGGTCAACATAGTTTTGTCTGGCTTTTAAAGAATAGAAGAGTTTATATCCTTTTAAACTATGTTAAATCTCTAAACATGATAAAAAGAGAAAACAACTTTCTGAAGGAAAAGATTTTATGTGGTTAACCCATCAATCTTTGAATTCTATAAATATTATATTTAATATTTTTACTTCTCAATTGCAATTAAAACAGGGGTTGGAATATTTGTGTATGAAATAGGGAAACTCAATGTGAATTATTGTACACTAGTCAGTTCCAGAGTCAAGAAAAAATGTTTTCAAATGTTTTAAGTCACTCAGCAAACATGAATATCCCCAGCAATTTATTTCCTATGCATCCACAGCTGTCTACAATAAACAGCCATCAAAACCAAGATCTGATTGAATGAACATAAGCTTTCAGAATAATACATATGAAGAAATCTTACAGAGCTCAGTGGTCATAAGTATTTTTCTCTCTCTTCTCTCTTCCCCATCAAATTCTCATCACTCCACAATCATCATTTTCCTCGTAGCAGAAAGATTCATCTAAGTTCATTCAAGACTAAACCTGGACATGAAATATCTTAAGTACAGGTGTTCCTTCAAACGTATTTATGTATAAAAATATGTGGTTGTTTTGCAAACTTTCATTTTCATGAAATCACTTTTAAACATTGAAAAACTGATATCTTAAAATAGAATTCTATTTATGTTCGCATTTACATGTGGGGACCATGTATAGAGTTGAGAAGTTTAATATGGCTCTTTCCCTCACAGAACAAAGTACAACTTTGGCATTTTAGGGGTTGCTGTCAGAAGCTAATCAAAGAAGAGTCAATATGTGCAAAATTGCTGCAGAAATTTGTTTCAGCAGACAAAAGGCTCTTCTCATTCTTATGAAGCTCATAATCCTACAAGAAAAACAAGACCAACATGACATTACCTCAAGATATAACTGTTTGGCAATATTTAGAATACAAATCTGAGATGTCAGAAATATGATTTTAAAGAAGCATTTGTTAATGGTCCATTTGAAATCTCTAAGATGACTTTTAATATAATGATCAATTTTACATATTCTCATTCTACTTTATGGACTCTAATTAGAAGTATCTGATAACTTAATTCTTCACTGATTACACAGGAAACTAATGTCAGCTAAGACCCTGTAATATTTTTCTGATATGTTCAGCTTGTTGGTATAATCTCATCGCTCAGCAGCAAACCTCATTTACAGGGGTTGCACATTGGAGAGCGATTTTGTTACTGACATGGTTAGCACCAAATGATGACAATGCTGACATAAACTAAATCTACAGGATTCTGCTTCTAATATTCAAATACAGTAGTCCTCCATATCCTCTGGGGATCCATTTTAAGACCCCTAGTGGATGCCTGAAACTGTGGATAGTACCAAACTCTGTATATACTGTTTTTTTGATCTGATAACCAAGATGGCTACTAAATGACTAGCAGCAGGCAGGCAGCATGCACAGCATGAATACACTGCACAAAGAGAGGATTCATGTTTTGGGTGGAATGGAGGTTGACTGCAGGTAACTGAAACTGCAGAAAACCAAACCAAACTGTGTATAAGGGGTAACTATTGTAACCTCTTTTGACAAAAGGGATCATGAGTGTTTGTGTACAATGTTGTTGGGCCTATTTACATTCTTCTACAACAAGCACATTCATGATAAAGCCAATATAAGATTATTAATTCATATTTCAGAAATGACATCTGGAAAAATAAAAGAGCTAAATGAAGTAGTACAGCTAGGACAGTACATTGTCCCAAATGTCCAAATCTGGATCCAGCAAGATAACAAAGGATAGTTTTAATGGCCAATAAACAGTGAATTCACACTGCTTTCCTGCCTGGCCTCAATGGAGAAGCATCTGGGTTAAGTCCATGCTACAGACTCTCAACTGGAATAATGGAAATAAAAGTACTTCATGAATTATAAAAGTTAAAAAGGCAGGATAAACCGTGGAGTCAGCTGTAGCTCCTTCAGCATATCTGAGCCCTGAACAGCACCTGTAAGTGGTTAGTTCATTCCTCACAGAATAATGAACTTAATTCTTGTGCATTAGGTTGTTCTCTGACTTCCAAACAGGAGAGAGTATGAACTTCCTCAAAAATGGTGTGACTGATATTGACAAAGATGGAGGCTTTTCAAAAAAAAAAGAAATAAATACAAGGTAGCAGAATAAGGCTCCATCTAACCAGAGATCAGAATTCGGAAGTCAATAGGAACATAATATTCCTGAAATGGCACAAGATGCCCTAGTAAGGAGGCCAAATATTTAATCCTTAGCCAAGAATAATAAAACATTTCTGCCTTCATATACATAAGAGTTACCCAGGAGCTTATCTTAAAATGCACTTTCTTTTGGTCTTGCCCTAAGTAATTCTCATTTATTAGATGATTTTGATACCTATAGTCTTCTGAGCATACCTTGAAAACCACTGAGCTCAGGGCCCTCAGAGCCTTCAAGCTCACATAATTCTTAATAAGCAAGTAAACGGAAAAATCCTTGAGGATAAGTCTATTTCATCTTTGTATTTCACAAATTATCTAAACTACTTTTTAGTTAATTATTTATTATCTATTGGATGATGTCCCTAAATATCTGTAAAATGAATGAGTAAATCAATCCCAAGCTCAGAAATATATTCTAAATTGGGTATTGATAATACCCAATTTGCCTATAGATATATCTTCACAATCAGATAACTCATTGTGCTTGTTTTATGTTTTAAATAGTTCTCCTGGCTCATTGAAAGGCACTGCATGAAGTGTGCCAGATGATGGTCAGAACAATTCCTATGTATGTAACGTGCATGACAATTTCAGTGGTACTCTCATGTCCACCATCCACTTTAATAATGAGAAAAAGGAAGACTAAAACATTTTCTCCGCTTTCAAGGAGATTACAATTTAGTGACAATGTATTAACACAGAAACATGCCAGAAGAAAAAAGAACACATAATTGGAAGCCAAATTGTGTGATTTCAGACTACACACAGCTGAGTTCTTCAGAGGAAAGGGGGCATCCCTGGGGCCTGGAGTAATTAAGGAGGGCTTTGTAAAGTAGGTAGGACTTCCTCTAAGGATATTATTTGATTTAGATAGTTAAAGAAAAGACGATCCATGTGAGAAAAAATAAGATGAGTAAAGGAAAGGAGACATAAATAAATCTTAAAGCAAGGCTCTTGATATTAAGAGTGTATCCAGAGCAAATAGAATTCATCAGGGATTGATTAAGGAAGGCAGCTAATCCAAAAAAGGAAAAAAAAAAAGAAGATAAATGAAGTAAGGGACCAACTTGTGCTTATATTTGGTGAGAAAATGTTCACTCATACACAAGAATATAAAGTAGAAATGTATATAAATCTGCTATGTCTGTTTTCTAAACTTTGTGAATTTCATTTATTATCTAGAAAATATAGTATATCTGTTATAATTCTAAAAGTATTCTTATAGTCCTAATTGTCCAAGTGAAAAATATACGTATATATATTTATCTTTTTTTCTATATTATATTATCATCGTATACTTAAAATATTTACATATGTGTATATTATTCAGGGGTACCAAATGACTCTGAATTTATCCAATTATGCTACACATAGAGATCAGAGCTAGCTCAGGGACCTAGGCCCTTCATGAACCTGAACTTCGACGTTAAACATGAAACTGAGAAACATGTAGTAATTTGCTTAAGACTACTGTGACAATATTGTTGACTTGCATGTTGCTTATGACATGCCTTGGAATGTTTTGGCTTTCTTCTATCAGCTTTAGAAAGTTGTATGCTGACTTATTTCATTATTTTGGGAATTAATCATTGTGTCCTTGTGGGGCAAACACTCTTTTTTAATAAAGTGCAGTATTATGTGCTTTATTGTGAGAAACTGTGTGTCTGTTCCAATATTGTATGGTGAGCAATAAAGCATCAAACTGAAAGACCTGGCTCTTTAGATTTATTTTTCTTCAAAATTATTTCATTTTTGTTGTGACTGGACCCTAAACCACTTAAAAGACTTCATTTTAATTCAGTGCCACCCACATGTACCACTGGTGGTTTTTCAAAATAATTATAAATAATAGACAAATAGACATTTACTTTTAATAATAAATTGAATGTGTCCATCCCATACACTCTGCATAACTGCCTATTATACTTATATCTAAAAGGGGAGATAATGTAGATGAATCTATAAAATTAAACCAGTGATAGTAGCCACTTGTGGTGCTTCATGCCACATCTCCTCTTTGGTCCCATGATTTCAGCACAGCTGTGGTAGACCATTTCATATACATTGCTGTTCTCCCATCTTCAGCAAACTAAAGTGGCAGAGTTCCTCCAAGCTGTATTATAACACTCAGTGTAAGCACAGGTAGTCAAAGATTTCAAGGGAGTTAACGCCCGTAGGGACACCCATCAAAAAGTGGGGAGTAAAAACCAATAGACAAATGTTCCAGGTCTTATCTTCTAACAGAATATTTCTGAGCCATCTTCAAAACAATTCTTCAAAAGGCCCTCAGCATTACCGAGCCCCTATTTTTCCTACTGGAAATCAACTCAAACACATACCCTTCATCGACTTTTCCTCCTTCCTTGTCCCACTTCCTCACTTCTGTTTCCTGAAGTAACCTCCGAAACATACTATTTGCACCCAAATCCTTGTTTCAGGCTCTGCTTTGGAGTACCATCGATGTGATAATGTTTTTAAGTAGATGTCTATGAGTGGTGGATCAGAAATATCATTTTGAAAATGAAAAATCAGAAAGTGACACAGAATAGTTCTCTCTGTACAGGTGCTTCTCAACTTATAATGGGGTTATGTCCCAATAAACTCATTGTAAGTTGAAAATACTGTAGGTTGAAAATATGTTTAATACACCTAAACTACTGAACATTGTAGTTTAGCCTAGCCTGCATTAAACATGCTCAGAACACTTACAGTAGCCTATAGTTAAGCAAAATCATCTAACACAAAACTTATTTATGAAAGAGTGCTGAATATCTCATGTAATTTATTCCAAATTATGGTTTCTACTGAATCTGTATTGCTTTCATATCACAGTAAAGTCAAAAATCGTAAGTATAATGAGTTAAACTATCAAAAGTAAAAAAGTATTTTCATTTCCAATCAGACATTGCCTTCTAATATACTGAAGAGCTACCATTGCATATGTATGTCAGTTAAAATACTTTTAATATAGCACAAAGTTTATGAATCACAGAAAAAATAGTTGTTTCTCTATACTCCTGAACCATAAAGTATCCTGTCATTTCAACTCAACTTTGTTCAAATTCTCCCATGTAATTTATAAGTATTTTACTCTTAGAATATAACAATTGGGTCTGTAAAATAGAGATAGTAATGCATCTAATTCATGAATGAATTAAGATAATTAAATTACATGTAAAAGTAGTTATAAGATGGGCCCATAGTTTACACTCAACATTTCCTAACAATTACTAATCAGACTCAGTAAAAGGAATTTCAACCATCTGGAGCCATAAATATTCACTGAGAAATACTGGGCACAAGGCACCTTCCCTGGTGCTACAATAAGACAAAAGAGGAAATAAGAATTGTCCTCAAGAATCTTACAATCTGGCTAAAGAGACTAAATACAAACATTTTAAATTTAGGTAGCAGTATAAGGTTTAACTAGCATCCGAAGATGCCAAGAGAAGAAAAAAGGAAGTACCTAATTAATTCCCCAATAATTAACAAAGACAATAACGGTAATGAAATTTCAGAAAAGAGAGATAAATTACTTCAGTCTAAGCTAGTATCTTATTTTGTTACCTGCTATAACAAAATATCAGAGCAGGGTAGTTTATAAACAACAGCAATGTATGTCTCACAGTTCTAGAGGTTGGGAAGTTCAAGACTAAAGCACTGGTACATTTGGAGTCTGGTGAGTGCTGTTTCCTAGGTTCATAGATGATGCTTTTCTGCTGTGTCCTCACATGGCAGAAGAGCCAAAAGAGCTCCCTTGGACCTATTTTATAAGGACGCTAATCCTGTTCATGAGGGCTCCATCCTCAACATTTAATCACCTTCCAAAGGCCCCACCTCCTAATACTGGCACACTGATAATTTGATTTCAACACAATTTGGTGGTAATGAGGGGCCAAAAATCTTCAGATCATAGCAGCTAGCAAGAAAAGACTTTCAGAAGGCAGTGGGATATGATCTGAATGTTAAATTGTAGTAAAATATGAAAGGTCATGAAAGGTCAGAGAAGGTATGGGGTGGAGTAGACAGAAAAGGAGACATTCAAAAAATGCCTGAGTGAAAGAAATGAGAGAGGATAAGATGGTGTGGATACAGAGAAGTTAGCTAAAAACTGGAAAATTACCTTGTTTACAATAGAATATCAAGAGTGGAATAGCTTTAAAGTCAGCTAGTGCTCATTCAAAAGGAGAATTTATGGTCAAGTGCAGTGGATTACTCCTACAAACCCTGCACTTTGGGAAGCAAAGGCTGGAGGATAACTTTAGCTCAGAAGTTTGAGACCAACATAAGCAACATAGTGAGATCCCACCTCTAAAAAAAAAAAATTACCAGGCATGGTAGCACAGGTCTGTAGAGCCAGCTACTGGAGAGGCTGAGATGAGAGAATAGCTTGATCCCAGGACGTTGAGGCTGTAGTGAGCCATGATTGCACCACTGCACTCTAGTGTGAGCAACTGAATGAGAAGAAAGAGAGAGAAAGAGAGAAGGAAGGAGAGAGGGAAGAGAGAGAGGAAAGAAGGAAAGAAAGAAAGAGAGAGGGTGGGAGAGAGGGAGGGAGGGAGGGAAGGAGGGAAGGAAGGAAGGTTAAAGGAAATTTAGCTGGGCTACATCTTATGATTTTTATTGAAAAAAATTTTCTTGAAAATATAAAGCATGATAATAATTATAACACTACTTTGCTTAACTTTTTTCTGGTTTAGAATAACGGTAGTAGTATCTGCAACCTTTTTGAAAACCTAAAATAATTCCAAAAGAATATGTTTACTAAATAAATAAATGTTGGTAATAGAAATCCAAAAGAAAAGTAGTTTGATCTAAATGTTTCTCCTGTAAGACCACAGATTATTTTGGCACTAAAGTTTTTTTTTTTTTAATTAACCAAATGGCAAGATTATTTTTCTTTTCAAAATGACTAACAATGTTCGTAATTCTTAAACCGTAATTCAAGTACAGCAGGGCTTTTATTGCAAGGATCTTTTTGAATAACTATCACTTGAGTCAGTTAGTTTCATATTTTCTTATGTAGCAATATAAGCTAAAGTCCTGTCAACTCCAAATACACACACACAGACACACACACACACACACACACACACACACATAAACACACTACCAAATCAGAAAATTTTCAGAAGTATAAATCATAAGAAGCAGAGTCAACATCTTTCTTTCTTCACTTCATACACACATTTACTCATCAACTAAAATATATCATCCACCTACCACTCATGACTTTGGACATTCTCCTTTAATGTGAAATGGACACCAATTGACTCCATTTCATTAACAGTTTCTAATTTCATTTCATTGGCAGTTCCTAATGACTCTGGCTTTGCCAAGTTATCCTCAGAGAAACTCCATCATTGATAATTAAATGGGTTTCAACTTTTCCCCATACTCCATACTTTGAATTTAAATATCTCATGCCCTTGGGTATATTGACAGGTGACATGGTTGTGACAACTTCTAACTTTTAAGGAAAACTATCTCTCGAGCTGAAAAAAAAAAAAAAACCTGACAAATAGGCAATAATGCCAACAATTAGAATAGTTGCTTGTTTAGCTTCTAAGTCCTATTTGTTATGGTTTGATAGATATGTATAAAAATATTTTTGAGACCATTACCCCAACAGACAGATAAAGAGAAGAAATACAGAATTTAGAAAAAATCAATGATAAGTCTTCCAAATAACATATTCTAGGTTAGCTTTATTGGGGGAAAGGTTAAATTAAAGATTTTATATGAGTACCATTATTTCATTCACAATCAGTCATTTTTTTGGAAAGGAATGCAATTGGCCACCAGAAGGATCTGAGACAACTGAAAGAATGTGTTCCTTTGCTTGGAATATTGAACATATTTTTTTAAATGCCAAGATATGAAGGATGTGAAAACACTGATTGTCATGGCCAGATGGCAAACTACAACTTGGGTAAATTGGGTAGTTGCTGAGTTTGCCATCACTTATTGATCATCTAGGCTATATCTCATAATGCCCTTCTGCTTGCCGATCAGAAGTGGCGACGAAGCTGATTAGTATA